TATTCTATGATTCTATGATTCTATCTTGTCTGCTTAACTTTGCAGTTGGGTAGTGTTTACTGAACAGCAGACCAGACAGTGTTGAACTTAGGAGAGACCCTGCTGATTTCACTGGGGCTTGACCCATTTGTTCTTCTGTGGTCAGTACATCTGCAAAGAGGCAGAGCTCATGTCTCAGGCAGCACCAAGAAATGCCGTGATTTGATTGAACAGTTGTGGCCCGTCACACTACACATAAGCCTTTAAGGCACTGTTGCAGTAAAGCTTCACCAGAACTGGTTATTCAGGCCTGTGGCTTTGCCCCTTGCCTTTCAATAGTCTTTTATGTATTGACTGTCATAAACAGTGATATAAATGAGCAAAAGGTCTAGCCTTATATTTACACTTGTAATTCCCTTCTGTAAGCAGTGTCTTTTATACCACAGCATTCTTTTGGAAAGCTGACTGCTTTAGTTTCCCTTCCTGGTTCTCCGGCAGTAGCTATGTAGGGCTTTAGCTTATATAAGGATTACCTCTGCACATTATATTTGCTGCCTCTAAAGAGCTAGCTTTTTTCTTTTTTTTTCTTTTTCCCTCTCTTTCTCATTTCTGCACTATTATTTTGCTCCCATTACACATCCATCCCCTCGTACCTAGCAGGGAGCCATATGAAAAGGTCATCACCTCTTTCCCTTCAAAACTTCTTTTTTAAACTCCTTTGTCCTGCTATCTGCAAAGAGACAAGACAGCAGTGAAAAGAGCTCTGGGATGCTGAGATCCTTCTAATTGTCTCCCTGCAATGCTTTGCTCAAGATTCAGATAAACAATCGAGTTATTGCACCTTAGCAATTATTGTGCATCTGCAAGCCAGGAGATCTCCCAGCATGCATAATTTACACCTTTGGCAGATGTGGAGAGATTTCACTTAATTTACATTACAATGAAAAACAGTTTAGCCTAGTTGCCTTACCTCCTCTTTGCAGCATCAGTAGCAGCATCTCACAGACAATATCCCATCCTCATGGGACCAAATGCCTCTTGCTTCTGCAGAGACTGTGCATGCCTGAAATGGGAACCAGGGATTTGCTCTGTGCTCCTGACAGCACCCAGAAGAGGACTTGTGTTACACACAAGGCTCCCATTCACAAATGCATGCCTGAAGGAATGAAACCCCCTTGCACTTTCTAACTGCTTTGCATTTTCTAACCACAACCAAACTGAAACGTGGGGGTTTCCATTTGAATATAAGGAAACTTTTCTGTTGTGAGCGTGACCAAGCACTGGAGCAGGCTGTACAGTCTCCATCCTTGGAGATTTCCAAGGATATCCAGAAGGCATCTGGACATAGAATCATAGAATCATAGAATAGTTAGGGTTGGAAAGGACCTTAAGATCATCAAGTTCCAACCCCCCTGCCATGGGCAGGGACACCTTGCTCTAAACCGTATTACCCAAGGCCTCATCCAACCTAGCCTTGAACACTGCCAGGGATGAAGCATTCACAACCTCCCTGGACAACCTATTCCAGTGCCACATGCTTCTGAGCAGCCAGATCAAGGTTGGTTGCTTTAGCAGGGGGTTTTGACCAGATGACCTTCAAAGGCCTCTTCCAACATCCAACATCCTGTGATTCTATGAAAGCTGTGAGGTGGGTTCTAGTAAGACGTTAGGAGATTATTGATATCATAAATAGGAGTTGTGGCTTTTTCAGCTGAAACTTTCTGTAGGTTTGTTTTTTTTCTAAATGGGTGGTCTCATCTCATCTGAATGGATTTGGCTTTTAGGAGTAGATGCACCAGCTTGAGTGATTAGAGAAGTTGTAACTTTTCTGATCAAAATTAAATACAAACCTGACAAAAGACAGATTATTTCATGGCTGTTAACTAATACCAACCCCATTAAAGGGACTCTTCACACTGGGAGTTGAACCTCCTTTATCTACAAAGTAGAGGAGAGCCTGGAGCACAAACGTACTAGCAGTAGGATGCTTTCCAGTTCTTAGTGCATCATCTCCTTCACTGTGCATTGCTAATTATGTGTTACAGAGTTATAAACCCCTGGTCTCCTTGCTCATTAATTCTCCTGGAATACAGTTTAGTAAGATTTAGCTTCAGTCTAATCGGAAATTAGAAAGTATTGGATCTGTTGTGAACTGTCAAAGGCTGGAGATACCATTTGCAAGTCCAGGAGCCCTGTCCTGATACTACCACTTAAGTTTTGCAGGATCAGTGTATTTCATTAGTGCATTAGTGCATTGAGAAACAAGTTAATGAGAGATGGTTCAGGAAAGAGCATATAAAACTTTTGGTGCTTTAAATGCTTTGCCTTCCCATTGACAGAAGATCAGATTTTACTACGTGTCTCAGGAAGTCCTACTTACTGGTGGGGAATCTGAGACCCCACCAATAATCAGATCTCCCCACCAGGGAGATCATAAGAACTGGCTGCATGTTCACTGGAGGTCTGTGGCAGAGCTGGGATTTGACCTTCTAGCACAAAAATCTCAGTTTAATACTTCAGTCCAAAGTTTGCTGCCTGTAAATGTCAGAGTAAGAACTAAGCTTGTGAGGCTCTTTTCCAAATTTTATGTTAATATGGTAGGTAGTAGTTGTTTGCTCTGAGGGTAGACATTATCCATCACTTGAGCCATAATTATGGTGTGGTAAAATCTGTGTCTTCTAACCTTGTACTTTTTGCACCTCCCAGACATCTAGTGCAGAATATGAGAGTTATTAGAAAGGTTTGTTGTATCACACCATGTTTGTGAATTTGCGCATCAAAAAGTGACATGAGCATCAAAGGACGATAGAAAAAAAGTGTCTGGGAAGTGTTTTTCCCTAAAATCTGGGACATTTATTACTATTTTTTCATCCCAGTGATGATGTATCATTGTGATTCCCTCTACCTTAGTTTCCACATTGCTAAAGCATTAAGACAACTTTTGAAAGTAGCATTGAGAGCAGTGAGAATTACAAAACAATCAAGCAATTGTGAGGAAGTGCATTCAAAAAGAAGAAATAGGAGAAAATTAAGCTGAAATAAGTACCTCTTAGTACACTGAGAATAAGCAGCAAAGAATCAAAACCACCGTGAAAGCTAAAAGCATTGTCAAACAGAGAGGAGGAGTTTTGAGCAGGAAATAGGAACCAGAAAAGTTCAGATAATGGAATCCATTGTAATGAAGAAGAAATAACAGAAATTGCATAACTAAAAAAAAAAACAACCAAACCCCACAAAAAAACACACCAAACAAGCAAAAAAAGAAAACAATGTATTGAACAGTCATGTCCTTGATTTGTTTGCACAAGATCTCTTATGATCCCAATAGGAACCCTGGTAAAAAGAAATGCAAACAGTGATCATGCAGAGAAAGCCTGGGGAACAACAACTCACCAAACTGTGCTAAAGTTAGTTAACTTCTCTTGGAGCAGCTGTTAAATGAACAAAGCCATCAGAGCATTTGTGGAGTTTCGGTCTGTTGTAAAGACAAATTACAGGGGCAAGTGTAGTGTCAAAGTTTACTTGTCACAGATATTAAAGAAGTGGATTAAACCAGGGGATAGGCTGCTGCTGATTTCAGTGTGAAACAGGTCTATGCTTAGGAAGATGTTCAGATGACTCAATTGTCAGAAATTCCTGGAGGTGATGCTTGAACATTTTCATGACTCATAGCTGCATAATTGATTCGCTCCTGTTTGCAGAAGTTTTATTGTTCTTGTGCAAAGAATCTGATTGTTAGAAATATTTACAAAGCTCTTGAGTTTCACTGATGTAATTCTTCATCTCAGAACCGAGTTTTGACTACTGCTTGTTCATTCTCGTTTATTGTACCAGCTTTCCAGTGGGGGATGGGAGGCAGTTTTGTTCAATAAATGACACCAAAGGAATGCCCCAGTCAAGTGATATGCATGAGATAGACAGGATAGAGACCAGTGTTTAGTGTGGATTCTGGGGGAATTTGCAATGTGCAGTGTATTGCTTCTTTGTTATTTCTGTCTGACAAATATCAATCTTGGCCTTTTAGACTACAGACTTTTTAGGGTAAGGCCTGTCCTGATCAGACTGTTAATTTCTCCTTCTTTTGCTTAATGTCTGTACAGCCCATAGCCAATGTGGGTTTGAGGTCTAGCTGGTACAGGAAGCAGAGATGTCTTAAGGAGTAAGAGTTGCTTTCCACTGAACAGTCTCCTTATAATTCCAGATGGACCAGGATGTGCAGAGTACCAGAGAGGAATGTGAACTTCACAGTTTTGACAGATCTGCCTGAAGGAGAGGGACATCCTTATATTAATTAAGGCTCTTTTTTAGCCAGTTGGAAGCCCTAGGCACTCAACTTGCTTGAGTCAAGGAAATCTTCCTGCCTTTAACTATACATGTTAAAACAGGTAATACAGGTTGTAGGTATCTGGTTTTTCTCCCCTCATAGCCAGATTTTGAAGTGTTTGGTTCGGTGCGGTAGGTTTCCCAGAAATCACATTCAGTCAGGGCTCATCTTGTAGATAAGGTCTGGTTTCTGAGGACTGCATTCAGACCTCTGGCCTTTTTTATAAAATGAGCGCTTTATCCCTCCCTTTTATAAAATGAGCGCTTTATCCCTCTCTTGGCTTCTCTTGTGTGAAGTGAAATACATAAATAATTCACTGCTCTGTTTAGAGGAAATCTTTTCCAGGAACAAAGGCAGTATGACAGTAACATTCTCAAACAATCCAGGTGGAATGCCAACAAACAAAAGGTCCAAGTAAAATTGGCATTATAGTACCATTAGAAGAGACTGTTTTTTTAGGCACCTCAGTATTAAAATTTACTTGGTTTTGAGGTTTGAACTTTACAACCCAATGAATCCCTTTCATTTATGTGTTCTGTGTAATGTAAACACTTCGTAAAAGAGCAAAAAGTATAAGAATTTTGTTCTAAATGTTACAAGAAATGTCCTCTGGCATTTGAATCAACAAAAGGCAGATATTTGTTGAACAGCAAGCTGAACATTTCTTTTTAAATCATCTTTTTCCCTTCTCTTCCAGGAAATGTGACCAGGAATTGTACAAGCCAGGGCTGGACGGATGTGTACCCTGCGCCATATGCTGTAGCTTGTGGATATGATTCCAACAGCACTCCAGGGGAAGAGGTTTGTAAACCTGGATGGGTAGACATCAAGATTTACCTGAGACTGATATCAGAATCACATGATCTTCCTATGCCAATTTTTTTTTTCATTCACACTCTTGATTTCTCAAGAAGGAAAGATACTCTTGAGGATCTCTGGAAGCACAGATCTGATCAAAGAGATAATCCTCCCATTGATTTCCAGAATGGTGGCAGAAAATCAACACGAGAGATCAGACTAGCGTCTTTGTGATACCTACACTTAATTTCAGGTGCTGAATTTTCCATGTTTGAAACAAGCCCTCCACATTTATATTTATCCTTAAGTAGATACGGTGATTCCAGTATTTCTAGGCCAATATAAGCCTAAAAAGTGCTAAAGCACACAACTTGCCACACAACTGCTCTGCTGATCTCAGCCAGCTAAAGATACAGAAAACTGTAGGGAGCACACATATTTCCATGCAATGTTACTGAGTTTTGCAAGGGAATCATAGCATCATAGAATGGTTTGGATTGGAAGGGATCTTAAAGATCACCTAGTTCCAATCCCTACCATAGGGAAGGCTGTTCCGAGATTTCCCATAGCTTCTTTTCTCCAGGCTGAATATGTCCTTCCTTTCTTTTGTTGTATGACATATGCTAGTGTTTCTGAATGTTTGACATAAGAATCTCAATATGAAATAAATATACGTGGTGGTAGGTCTTTGTGTATGGTCACACATTACCAAGGCACTCAAAGAGTTAATGGAGAATCTGAATAGAACTCAGCTAGCCTTAATAGTGAAAGAATACAGAAAATAGCAAAGGGAAACTTGCACAAAGAATTTCAGGGTTTTACTGAGGAGAGCCTTAGTGTGCTTTAGAGGTCAGCCACCACTTCACATCCTCAAGTGTCCCTTTTCTCAGATCAAGTTGTGTGGCACCACTTGCATGTTACCAAAGCCATTCTTACAGGTCTGCTCTGGAAGGTCCTCCTTCAAGAGCTCTGGGATTTGTTCCAGTTGCAAAGGGGATTTGGGAATTTTTGGGACATGTTCTGGCGACCCAATGGGTTGCAGCATTGCCAGAGTGCCGCATTACCAAGAGAACAATGTCCTTTTAATTCTTTCTTTATTATTTTCTTTTGATTTCCACTGTTTTGTCATGCTGTTTAAGTCTAAATTTGTGTGAAAGGTGGCGGAGGGGGGTGAACAAGCAGTACTAGACTGTGAGGAAGAATAGATTTTTGTTGTTGTTGAATTGGCTTTCAATTTAGGGAGGAAGAAATAAAGGGGATAGAAAAAACAAGAACAGCAGGCTGTGTGGGACATGAAGTACAGAACAGAGTGATAACCCTCCATGCTGAAAACACTTCATGCACTGTTAACACCTACTGGTTTCAAGTCAGAAACAACAAGAAAAATATAAAAAATAGATAAATCATACAATCATAGCATAGTTAGGGTTGGAAAGGACCTTAAGATCATCTAGTTCCACCCCTCCCTGCCATGGGCAGGGACACCTTACACTAAACCATGGCACTCAAGTCTTCATCCAACCGGGCCTTGAGCACTGCCAGGGATGGAGCATTCACAACTTTCCTGGGCAACCTATTCCAGTGCCTCACCACCCTAACAGGAAAGAATTTCTTCCTTATATTCAGTCTAAACTTACCCTGTTTAAGTTTTAAACCATTACCCCTTCTCCTGTCACCACAGTCCCTAATGAAGAGTCCCTCCCCAGCATCCCTATAGGCCCCCTTCAGATACTGGAAGGCTGCTATGAGGTCTTCACACAGCCTTCTCTTCTCCAGCCTGAACAGCCCCAACTTTCTCAGCCTATCTTCATATGGGAGGTGCTCCAGTCCCCTGATCATCCTTGTGGCCCTCCTCTGGACTTGTTCCAACAGTTCCATGTCCTTTTTATGTTGAGGACACCAGAACTGTGCACAGTACTCCAAGTGAGGTCTCACGAGAGCAGAGTAGAGGGGCAGGATCACCTCCTTCGACCTGCTGGTCACACTCCTTTTTGATGCAGCCCAGGATACAGTTGGCTTTCTGGGCTGCAAGCACACAGTGAAGCCGGCTCATGTTCATTTTCTCATCGACCAACACCCCCAAGTCCTTCTCTGCAGGGCTGCTCTGAATCTCTTCTTTGTCCATCCTGTAGCTGTGCCTGGGGTTGCTCTGACCCGGGTGTAGGACTTTGCACTTGTCATGGTTAAACTTCATGAGGTTGGCATCAGCCCACCTCACAAGCGTGTCAAGGTCCCTCTGGATGGCATTCCTTCCCTCCAGCGTATCAACCGAACCACACAGCTTGGTGTCATCAGCAAACTTGCTGAGGGCACACTCAATCCCACTGTCCATGAAATCAGTGAAGATGTTAAACAAGACCGGTCCCAACACCGATCCCTGAGGGACACCACTCGTTACTGGTCTCCAGCTGGACATTGAGCCATTGACCACAACTCTTTGCATGCGGCCATCCAGCCAGTTCTTTATCCACTGAGTGGTCCACCTATCAAATTGATGTCTCATGTGGGACAGTGTCAAATGCTTTGCTCAAGTCTAGGTAGATGACCTCAACTGCTCTACTCCTGTCCCTTACTTCCATAGCCCCATCACAGAAGGCCACCAAATTGGCCAGGCAGGATTTCCCCTTAGTGAAGCCATGCTGGCTGTCACCAAGCACCTTGTTGTTTTTCATGTGCCTTAACATGCCTTCCAGGCTGCGTGTAGGAATTTTTAGCTGTGAATTCTGGCAGTCCCTAAGAAGGAGATGATGCAGCCATTGAAGTAGTGCCCTTACAGTCTTTGCAGTGATTCCTTCTCCAGCCTGACCTTTTATACCCACGTATTAGCAAGTGTTTTGCTGTTCCACTGTCAGACACAATGCACAGCCTGTGCCTTGTGTGCCTGCATCCAGTCAAAGGGGGGGCACCCCAGATGTCCCCATGGGCTCTGTCTGAAAATGGTGAAGAACATAGACTCCTCCAGAGGTCAGTTCACCCCAAATTTCTCTCCAAAGGGACCTCTTTGCATTTACTTTATAGGGGGAGCCCAGATGACTTTAGGCTAGGTGATATGAACCAAAAACATGTTTGGGTACAGGGCTGCTAGAAGACTTGATATCAATATTTCTTTTCTTTTTCTCTTAAAAATGTAAATGTTTCACATTCTAATCTCAGCTGCTAAGCCACAGATGTAGAGATTACTGAACAAGGAACCAAGGCAACCAAGGAAGCCGATTCTCAGTTCATCTCAGTTTAACATGTAAGCTAACTAGTTGTATTAAGCAGGGGTTTTTAGAAGTCAGAGAGAAATTTGCCTAATTTAATTCTGTAAATCAGTTTAGGTCCACAGTTTGAACCCAGGCATCCTGGTATGCATTTCCTTCACTTCTCTAGATCCCTCTTTTTTCTAGGAAGAATATTTTAGTAACCTGAATTCAAATTCCAGTTCCATTCTTGATCTTGGGTCGAATTCTCTGCTTTAATACCTGTGGAATAGGAAGTGATTGTCATTAGCAAGTACAAACGCAGTCTGAGAAGTCAGTATTGGCTGTTTCCAGAACAGAGATGACCCCACATGCTACGTTAAAGCTGAAGGCAAAGCCATGTCTCTGTACACGGGAAGGGTAGGTCATTGTAAAATATAAATTAAGGAGTTGCCTGTTAAAAAATACCAAGATCTTTCTGTGCATAACTTGCTTCTGTGAATAACTCAAAAGAAGCAAAAGGCCTATCTATACCTGTGTTGACACTGGAGAGTTTCCATCTACCACCCCACTACCGGCATCTCCTGTGATACCTCTTAATTTCCTTTTCCCCATTCCACTGCTTTCCTAAATACAGTGTGGGACAACCTCTTCTTCAAACTCAGTCCCCTACCACAAGCTCTGTCCTTCTGCTGGCCAGGCCTTTTCTGGAACACTTCTGCTGTGGATCAAGAAGGAAACTAAATAATGGGAAAATGACAAAATCAGGATGAAGTTGATTGATTTTATTGGAAGAGTCTCAGCTGCCTTTGGGATCACAAACTCAAAGACGACTGGAAACAAGACTATATGTAGTTAGCTTTGAGTGGAATCTGCAAGACAGTGGGGTAGAAAGGTGGAACCTCCACTGTTCCTTTCTGTAGTACAAGTCTCTCTGTTTATCTGTGCAGATAAACAAGACTTAGGTGTGACCATACCGTTCTGGCTAACTCTATCACCATGGCAGCTTCCTGGCATCATATGAGCAAGATCAGGTAGATAAATTGACCAGAAGCTCTTGCTATGAATTGTGTTCAGTAACTGACCTAAAGCTGTTAGTGATGTGGATTCATGGAATGGGGTTGTAAAGACACTGTGCCTTTAACCATCTTGGATACCTGTGGTCTAAGAAACAGCAGAGGTATGACCAGCATAGCCTTTACACTCTCTGAAAGCTGTCTTAACACCCCTCCAAGCTGGCTGTGCAAATGCTAGAGGATTACTACTCAGCCCCACTGGTTCCGTAAAGTACCTACTACTTGTCAAGGCCTATGAAAATAGCATATAAAAATGTCAGCCCTCCCTGTTATTACAGAATGTTTCCCCAAGCAAGGTTGGTCTTAGATTTTCTGTTTAAACTCTCTTTGCAGTTCTTCTGTTTGGATTTTTCATAGAAAATAGTGACAAGGAGGGCAGAGGAGGGTATATCAAGGCCTGGAAAAATAAGATTTTCCACAAACTGAGCTAGAATCTCATAAAAACTTATCTCATAAAAACTCATAAAAAACAAATACTAAGTGATCTTTTGCCCTTTTTTTTTAAGCTGAAAACTGAAATGCATTGATTCAGAGTGTTGCTGGAGAACCTTAGGAGGGCTGGAGTTTTGTTGCCATACTTACACATTTTATTTTTACCAGGATTCCCTATTGGATTTAAGTCTTGTGGTACCCCATGCTCAGAGATGCCCTCTATGTGCTTTCAAAGAGAAAAACCATAAACTAATTTCCAACTTAATATATATTTCTGAATTAACGTACCTGTGATTTCATTGAGAAAATTTTAGTCTTTTACTTGATAAAACACAATGTCTACGTTCCAAAAGAGCAAACCAATTTCCAGACCAGTTCTGTCTTCAAACTTCCTTAACAAGATTGAAGTTCATCATACTCATCACCTCAGAGCTAATGTGTCACCGTGCTGTTTGAGTGAACATTGGTCATTCTTGTTCCACAAGGTTATAACCATGTAGCTGTCTCTGCAAGTGTCAAATCAGACTCCTTCCTGCATAAATTTTTCCCTGCATAAATTTTAACCTGGTTTTGGAGTGATCCAAGTTCTACTGCAGCCGGACTCATTCTTCATATTCACACTGCTAGTATTTGAGTCATGTACTTTATTGGATGTGGTTTTAAAGTGTGAAGGAGTTGTAGCAGGATGATTTCCTTGTCTCGCTAACAAAGCTAATAAAAGCTCAGTGACGGTGTATTTAGGAATACATGTTGGCAGCTCTTTGAAAGACATGTTTTGTTTCTTTCCTTCACATTAGCAAACGGCATTCTATGGCACTGTCAAGACTGGCTACACCATTGGACATACCTTATCTCTCATTGCTCTCACAGCTGCTATGATCATTTTATGTCTCTTCAGGTAAGACTATGAGCAAAAAAGGCATAGGTAAGGGGATGACTCACAGGGCATAGTGGCTCTTTAAGTTACAGGCTGTAAGACAGATAGATGCAAAGGACTTCTGTTAAATCTCGGGCAAGAGAGAAAAGTTCCTTAGTCTTTCGGTGCCACAGTTTTCTGGCTTGCTGCTTGTGGCCTTTGTGTGAGAGTGAAAACCCCAATCCAGTTATTATGGGGGGATTCATCTCACTAATGTTACGTGATAGATCTCTGTGTTAGAGGCCATTATCACATAATTGTTATAATCCACAGAGACCTAGTCAGTATGGTATATATGGATACTATGGAACGATGCATTTCTACTAAAGTTGGTATTAAAAATGGTGCAGGTGATTACACCCTAAAACTCCCTCCCAAAGTCTATTTCAGAAATGTTTCCTGCTACAGTTCTGTGGCAAGATATAGATATCCACAGCCATTCTAGGTATGCTAGAGCCTCTGAGGTGTTCACAAGGGAGGCACATTTAATGCAGCATCTTCAGGAGAACCAGGCCTGTATGGATTGGTGGGCAGATACTCTACACCATATCAAATAGCATTAGATGTCTAGACTGCAGCAAATGAATTAATCCTCAGTCTTTATTGTTTATAATAAATTCAGGCATCTAAATTTGGATGCCTCCAAAGAAGAAGATATATATAAGATAATCTCCTATTATAATGTTTTTTATGTGTAGGGAGAACAGCAAAAAGTAGACCTCCATGAGACAGAAGAAACTTCTATCTCCTTATGCCACTTTCCAGTGGCTTCCCTGAAATGCGTTATATGGTTGTCCAATTTATAACAGTCTGGTCAGACATTGCCCCCAGAGAAAGCTGTAGGAAATAACACATGTTCTAGGGTTATTCTCACACTTACATGAAGATTGGCTTTAACCATCAAGATATTTGTGTTTCTCAGCACACGCACTCTCGCCACTCCTCCTACAAGGGAAGCATGAATCAGACACATAGGCAAATTGTTTCATCTTAGCAAGATACAAGGTGCCAGCCAAGCTGGTGAAACTGTTGTTTCACACTTTCCATTTGTTGGAAACAGTGTAATTTGACTTGCCTTCCCCTACAAGCACAGAGAACTCAGCTCGTCACATTATCTTGCCATTGTCAGAGGTTAAGAGCATAAGCTCTGTCAATGCACAGTGACTCATTAAGAGGTGGTAATGTGATCATGTTCCTGAGTGAGGTTTGTTATGGTTCTGATGACTGTACAAATTACCTATTTCCAGAGTATTAGGCATTTCGCTTAAGCTGATACAAAGTCTTGCTTGGAAAAAAGGCCTACTTGATCATAATTAATCTTCAAAATATTAGTGGGCAAGGGACAGAAAAATAGTGGTGGTGTCCTCAATATCATTAATAATGAGTCCTTTTTAAATAGAAATATATTTTGTATTGCTACAGAAAGCCTGTAATATGTGTTAATTTTGGTAGCAGCTGCTAAGATTCTATTTCTATTCCTGAAGAACCATTTCACTTTGAAAAGAATTATTACAGTACAGACATTCTGTAGAAAACAGACCTGTATCGTGGACAGTTTGCTCAATTGAAAACATTTTCAGTGGAGAGCAGTGTGATGGATCTGTTTTCTGTCATTCTGTATTTTGACCTTTTTTTCTGAGAATTGGAAAAGCAGCAACACTGCTGCAGATGTATGGATTGCCACATGTTTTGTGTATTTAAAAAGGCTTAAATGGATTTACAGTAATTCACATCAGAATTGTAAGTTGATGGCTTGGCAGAAGAAACATAAAGAAATAAATAATACTTTTGAGAAACCTTGCTATTCAGAAATGTTATTTCATTTCTTCCCAACAGAAAGCTACACTGTACGCGAAATTATATTCATATGCACCTCTTCATGTCCTTTATAATGAGAGCCATCGCAGTCTTCATAAAAGATGTCATCCTGTTTGAAAGTGGAGAATCTGAACACTGCTTTGTGAGTTCAGTAAGTAGCCATGCGCATTGAAGTTTGCACCTTATTCTGTTGCACTCCTAAGCAATGCAGCAAAAATTACCTTGCAAATGTGTATGAGATAGCACTTTGGGAAGATCTCATGGGTGTTGTTTTTTTTCTTACTCAAAAGAAACAAAAGTGTTACTGTTGCAGTTTAATTTGTATGGAAAAAAACATAAAATAAATTAGCAGGGTCAAAAGTTTATAGGCATCTGGTCTTCTGAGGTCAAACCCACAGCTAGGGCTCTACAAGATTTTGGACCTCCTGTCAGTCCTGTGTTCATTTCCCAGTCCCATGCTAATTTCTTGGACATGCTGGTCAAAGGAGACTTTCAGTCCTGTGCTTTGGGATTCAGTAAAACCTTTCCCTTCAGTGAGGGTGGGAGTCAGATCCAGATACTTTAGGCATCTACGGGGTAAGTACTTCTGCATGAGCTATGTGTGTAAAGTGTAACCATAGTCAGCCAAGCTCTAATTAATATGTTCACTGGAGTCTGGAGAGTGCTTCACCTCACTTTGAAGAGGGCACCTGCATTTGGATGGCTCTCTGGGCTGCACTGATTTCAGTCACCATATCTCTGTAGGAGTTTAGGCAGGAAGCCTATATGTAGACATCACTGTCTATTTTTCATCCGGATCTGTACCCCACACCAGCTGTCTGCAACTGTGAGATTTCCCAACTTGGATGATAAATGAAGGGAATAAAGGAGTTGGGATATGTTTTCCACTTTCAAACTCAGTGTTATCAGCTGGAGCAAACATTAAGGAGAGAGAAGAGCTGTTTATCTAAAGGCAATATTGACGCAAGGGGACACTGGTCATGAATAAATTCAGGCAGGAAGTTGAAGTCATCAAAATAAAGAGTTGTGATCAGAAGTCATCACAGCACAGCAGTCCAGCAGATCCCTTCTGGGATCTTTTATGTCATGCAGCACCAGAAAAAGATTTGCTTTTCTCTTTCATCCAATTTCTTCCTTGCCTTCCGGCCTTTCTATACCCTTACCCTGAGTCCCATCCCTGCTCTTACATGACCTTTCTGCCTGAGCACCTCTCACTTGATATCAACTGCTGCCAGCGTTTTCCTGAGAATATCTGCAGCATGATACATTTCTGTTGCTGGTTCCTGCCCCTTCTGCCCTCTGTGGCTTACTGGTATCTGTGTTCTTTATCAATAGTTTGCTTTTTTTGTAGTTTTATTGTGGAGGTCCTTGAATAGTTAGAATGGAATATAAACGGGAATAATCAATTGCCTGCTGTCTGCTGCCACAGATAACTGCCAATGCTAATGGGCAGAGAAGCCAAGAACCCAATGAGCCATGGAGTTTGAACTAACCTCTCACCCCTGCAAGAGTTTCCACTGGGTTGTGACTGGGGCATGACTGCAAAAAAGCTGCGTGAGGAAAAAGCTGTGTGAGGGAAAAGCTGTGTGAGAAGCATTTGCTTCAACCATCCATCCAGAAACACTTCTGTGTATAAACACAGGACTTTGGCCTTCAGAACCCACAGCTCCTGGAAGCCAGTGTGCTTTCTGGCAGACCCATGGCTACCACCATTGTGTGAATTTCTCCCTATCAGAGGATTTTCATGTTAAATGCCAGCTCAGGGTGAATGGCTGGATGATACACAAGGGTTATAAAACTATGTGGAACAAATCTGTCTCTGACACAGTATGCTGAGCCTACCCCTTGCAAAATCTGTACTCGTGTTGACCCAACATTTTGGAGAACCTTCTAGGTCATAGGGGAAAAAATAGCTACGTGAAGTGCAGTCAAAATGCCTCTCCTAATATTCATCTGTTTACGGAAATAGTTATAAAATCCATTGTGTTTATATGGGGTTGGTTGGGTTAGGTTGACTTGGGTTAGGGTAAATAATTGGATGTTTTATGCTTTTGACTTGCAGGATAAAGTTTTAACTTGGGAGACCTGGGTACTAGTTCATATACCCAGGGCCTAATACACAATTTATTGAAGATTTTGTGTATAACAGGTAGGTATGGCCTTGAGCTCATTCAGTCTGAGGAGAGATTTGAACAATCAATTCAATTTACTGAATGCTTTCACTGCTGTGCTGCTTTAGGAAAGGTCACAACCAAAGCTATAATAATGTTCTGTTAGAAGAGAAAGTACTGCATTTAGTTCCTTTAAGGAAAAAAAAGGATAAAGGCACCCCTGTTCTGGCACAGATTCAGGGCTATAAATGGACAGAGGTCTCTCCCAGCCTTTCTGGTGAAGGGACAAAATTCCTGAATTTGGCATTACCTGTTGCAGTAATAAGACTTAAAATTATGTTTCATGCACCAGCCACACAAAAATATTTTAAGCTCTCCACCAACAAATGTGTCAGTACTCCAATCAAGTAGGAACTCCACTACATGTAGGTGTATATAAAGTAGAAAATAAATTATTCATAGGCTTTGCGTTTTCACTTCATTTTACCTAGTGTAGGAAAGCTCAGTTACAGTGTTAACTCTATGCCATTTTAAATTCAGATAGTTTTCATTACCATTGAGTTCAACATGCACACCCTAAAAATGAAATTTTTTGGGCATTTCTGTGAGCCAGAGAACCTGAGAATGTGGCAGTAAGCATTTCAGGGATAATGCAACCAAAAGACATGTGATGGGCAACACTGAACCATCATGTGAAACAGAATGCACACCATGCTCTGGGTGGTGTTTACAAAGTGATGTGTGGCAACTGTAGCCTCCTTGAATTCCTTGGTCCTTATCCCTTGATAAACCCACTCCTAGTGGAAAGAAAAGTCTTGCTGCATGAGTGAAAAAAATCAGTCTGTTTTTATGGGGCAGAAGCACTGAGTTGGCAAGCAAGGCTTTTTTCAAAACTAAATGTAGCTTAAATGATCATCAGTCCCAGGACCTGCATAATGTGGCCCAGGCTTTTTGTCCTGCACCAAAAAGCCTCAGCAGCAGTACCTTTACAAATGTCCCTGATACCTTCTCCTCTCCCCAGCTGTCCAAATCAACCAGGCTTGTTCTTAGTCAAAATGGGGATCCCTTGGCTCATGTAGAAGCATGTAGACTGTCCCTCTAAAAACCCACTGTTGGATTTTCCAGTGGAAAACAAAGAACTGCAGGGACCTTGAATTTGCTAGAGAGGTAGGAACAGCAGAGGAGTCTGATGGCTGTGATACACACAGCATATTGCCCGAGGTACCAATAGTCGTTAGTAGACCAAAACCACTTTCTCTGTTATGCATTCAGTCATAAAGTATGTCTGTAATTGTGTGTAACTGAGTCATCCTGTTGTCTTAAATTGCTTAAGAATGCGCATATACTAAAGTGTGTTAGTCAATCTGGGCTTCAAGCACTCAGATGTAGAAATGGGAAGGGGTCTGTGAAATCACCCACTCAAACCTCTTCTATAACTATTAATTTTGATTCATTCAGAATATGTTCTGTCTCAGCAATCAGTCATTTCTAACGGAAAACTTGCTACCCATGGCTTTGCTGCATCCAGCGATTAATATACTGCATGAGAAACTGCCATTTTACAGCTGGCAGTTGTTGGCATTCTTCTGTTTTGTTTTTTCATTGCCAGATGCAAGGGACCTCCTTACAATTTTCAGTTTTTCACATTAGTTTAATAGGCCTAGTGACCTTCTTCTGTCTTGGAATTCCCACACTCTGTCTTCCTCTTCCCTTCTCTCCCTGGAGAACATGGTGTGAAACATAGTACCCAAAATAACAAAACTGGTAGAAAGATTGAATTGAGCACTTCAATTGCTCAATTAAGGTGTAGTCCAGTGAAGTTCCTGCTGACTGGAACCCCTTTTGTTAAAAAGGCAAAAAAGAAAGACCTAGGGAACTACAGGCCAGTCAGTCTCAGCTTGGTGCCCAGGAAGACTGCGGAGCAGATTTTCCTGGAAACTGTGCTAAGAGACATAGACAATAAGGGGGTAGTTGGTGACAGGCAACACAGCTTCAATGAGGGCAAATCATGCCTGACAAGTTGGTAGCCTTCTATGATGGGGCCATGGAGTTGGTGGATAAGGGAAGAGCAACTGACACAGCCTACCTGGAATTGTGCAAGACATTTGACACTGTCCTGCACAAGATCCTTGTCTCTAAATTGGGAAGGCATGGATTTGATGGATGGAGCACTCAATCAGTAAGAATTGGCTGGATAGTTGCACCCTAAGAGTTGTGATAATAGTTCAATGACAAAGTGGAGATGAGCGACAAGTGATGTTCCTCAGAGTGAGTACTGAGACTTTTAAGAAGAGGAAGTAGGGATAGGACAAGTGGGAATGGGTTTACACTGAAAAAGGTGAGATTTAGATTGGATATTAGGAAGAACTTAGTCCCTGTGAGGGTGGTGAGGCACTGGCACAGTCTGCCCAGAGAAGCTGTGGCTGCCCCATCCCTGTCAGTGTTCAAGGCCGGGTTGGACAGGGCTTTGAGCAACCTGGTCCAGTGGAAGGTGTCCCTGCCCATGGCAGGGGTTTGGAACTGGATGAGTTTTAAGGTCCCTTCCAAACCCAAAAATCGTATGATTATATGATTGTCGTTTCATTTGATATTTTGAGGATTTATGGATAGGTTTTTATATAGTTTCATTACCATTATATATTGACTGCATAATGATGTGCCACTTACATTTCCAATCTAGCTGAAGACAAAGAAACTTTCAGTTTGATACAAAGAAAGATCAGGTTCTTTAGATTGAATTTAGGGAGAGTTTTTCTGAGCTCTTCAAATTTACCTTTGGTGAGGATTCAGACAAGGAAGACTAGATCATTTCTCTTTTTCCTTTCGCATTACAGTAAAAAATTCCAACAAAAAATTCTTTGCAAAGGAGTGGGGGACTCCTAGCAGTTGTGAACATATATTATCAGCGTGAAAAATAGATTTTTTTCCTCAGGCCAAATTGATAATATCTACAGGCCCCTAAGTCAACTTTATACATGGAAGTTGAAGACAAACACATTTTCTTTTCCGGCACAGCCCCATCTGAAGCTACTCAAATCCA